AGAAGAGGAGAAGCGTAAATATAGGGCAAGAAGAAAAAAAAATGTAAAATGTACGGAAAAGGATAGCGAAATAAATAAAAGCAATGCGTAAAATTAATAATAAGAAAAAGAAACAAAAGTAATGCATAAAGAAAAAAACAAAATAAGTTAATTTAGTTAAAAAGTAAACGTAGAAAAGAGTAAATTAGGCGCATGGAAGTAAGCCATGTATAAGAAAAAGAACGCTTTATGTATAAAAACAATGCGCAAAATACAATAAAATTTAAAATTTGAACATAACTTTTTTCAGCAGGGAAAAAATAGCGCAAAAGAAAAATAAAATATAAAGGTAATAGGGTTAATTAAGTTTTAAAAAAAACAAACAAATTTAGCGTGTAAAATTAATACATAAAAAAGTTAACGTGAAAAATAAATGCCTAAGAAGAGAAGCGTAAATATAGGGTATAAGGAAAAAAAAATTATAAAATGTACGGTAAGCGATAGCGAAATAAATAAAAGCAATGCGTAAAATTAATAATAAGAAAAAGAAACAAAAGTAATGCATTAAGAAAAAAACAAAATAAGTTAATTTAGTAAAAAAGTAAACGCTTAGGTTAAAGATTCCTATAATGTTGCATACGTGTTTCTGTCATAATAATCAATATTTGATATTTTTCAGCCATTGAAAACTTCACGAAATAAATACAAATTCAACCAAGATTCGTCATCTTAGCTTTTTGAAGGTAAGCAATATAAAGCAAGAGCTTAATAATTTTCGCGTTCATTTTAGCACACTATAAATTTTAAAGAAAACAAAAGAAATCCGCAATATGAATAAAGTAGCAAACATAATTCTGTATGGATTGTAAAAAAATCGCATTTAAGTATGAAAGCAATGCGCAAAATACAATAAAATTTAAAATTGAAGGTAAAATTTTTAATCAGGGGAAAAATAAATGCTCGAAGAAGGCGAAAAAATAACGCGAGAGAAAAAGAAAATATAAAGTAGATTGGGTTAATTAAGTAAAAAGACAAATTTAACGCGTAGAATTAATACATAAAAAAGTTAACGTGAAATATAAACGCTTAAGAACAGGAGAAGCGTAAATATAGGGCAAAAAGAAGAAAAATTGTAAAATGTACGGTAAAGGATAGCGAAATAAATAAAAGCAATGCGTAAAATTAATAATAAAAAAAAGCAAAAGTAATGCATAAAAAAAAAACGCAAAATAAGTTAATTTAGTAAAAAAGTAAACGTAGAAAAGAGTAAATTAGGCGCATAGAAGTAAGCCACGTATAAGAAAAAGAACGCTTTATGTATAAAAGCAATGCGCAAAATACAATAAAATTTAAAATTTGAACGTAACTTTTTTCAGCAGGGAAAAAATAACGCAAAAGAAAAATAAAATATAAAGTTGATAGTGTTAATTAAGTTTTAAAAAAAAAAAAAAAAATTTAGCGTGTAAAATGACTACACATAAAAAAGTTAACGTGAAAAATAAACGCTTAAGAAGAGAAGCGTAAATATAGGGTATAAAGAAAAAATAATTTTAAAATGTGCGTTAAAAGATAGCGAAATAAATAAAAGCAATGCGTAAAATTAATGATAAGGAAAAGAAACAAAAGTAATGCGTAAAGAAAAAAAACGTAAAATAAGTTAATTTAGTAATAAAGTAAGCGTAGAAAAAAGTGAATTAGGCGCATAGATGTAAGTCATGTATAAGAAAAGGAACGCTTTAAGTATAAAAGCAATGCGCAAAATATAATAAAATTTAAAATTTGAACGTAACTTTTTTCAGCAGGGAAAAAATAACGCAAAAGAAAAATAAAATATAAAGTTGATAGTGTTAATTAAGTTTA